TATATTATACATATATGTATGTAGCACAAAGTTAATTGTTTGCCAGTGATTATGACACAGGTTAATTTAATAAAGGATGTTAGTACGAAAAGCTGTTTTTTTTTAATTTTTCCTTATTCAAATAAGCCAAAAAAAGTATTTTTGATGCTTTTGGATAGTTTTAGGCGCTCTTCCGCATAGCACATAAAATATTTGTTCACTAAGTTCAGACGCTATCGATCGCCACTGGCCGCTGGCTGATCAGCCGCTTCGCTGTCAATCACAAAAACAACACAAAGCAAGCACAAAAACAAAAGATACGCTAACGACAACATTTACACCAACAACGATAATGATGATGTTTGTTGCCTTTAAAATTGATAATGATAATATTTGAGTCAGCGCGCCGTTTTGGCAAAGACATGGCAACAGAAATGCCACAAAAATTGCAAAGCAAACAACAATAACAACAAAGTCGCACTTGTTGCCAGGCATTTTTCAAATGTAGGTATGTTGTAGACATATACATTTCATTCCGGTATACCTGTGCCCCCTTCTGCACCTTTGCAGAATTCTTCTTTTACTTTTTCATTGTTGTATGTTAACGGTACGTGTTGTTCGTTATCAAATTTTGCAGTTTATAAATTTGCAATGCATAAGCAAGGCGAAAATCTGCAAGTCCAAAGCCAGGCAACCAATGACTCTGCGCTGGATGAGATACGAGTGCGCGCATGCCGGCGGCATATCGCCAGTTAGCCTGCTATCAGCCAACCGCCAGGAGCTCGAGCAACGTGACGTGACGTGAGTAAGGCCAACGCGGCCAATGTGTTTTAGCCGGCTACATAATAAATTCGTGGCCCCGGCATTGGGACAGCCAGAGAGGGTGTGGAAGTGAGCGCATGCATGTGTGGTTTCGGTTTTTTCATTCGATTGTGACTGCAGGATGTTACTGCCTCTTTTGGGTGCATATGAACGCTTGTTGGTCTGTGTGTGTGTGTGCGTTTGTGTGTTTGGAATGGTTTTTGGTAATGATAAACATCAACAACGTGTATCTCGTAACATGAGTCAATTGACTTCTGGTTATGTTGATTGAATTATTACGGCTGATCATTGTATATCGATACCTCTTTGGCTTTGTTGCCACACTGCAGTTGCAGTTGCTCAAACTCTGTTGCAATGTTATAATGTTGCTGTTAATGTTTGCATGACTTTTCGTTTCTTTGTTTTTGTGTATCTTCGTTTAATGAAAGTCCAGAGCATGAGTAAACACTTTTTATCGAAGGCAATGAGAGTAAAAGTTGTGGCAAATGCCGAAGAAAGTGCACTGAGTACATGAGGAAGTCATGTTGCATTAGAAATAAGTGAATTAGAAAGAAAATGCAATTAAAATATTTAAAAATAAAAGTTTTTTTTAGTTTGATATTTAAATGGTTTTTTCCAAAAACTCTCATTTCAAATAAATAAAGAACATCTGATAAACTTAACTGTTTTGATTGGGTTTCGTACTTAGAGAGTGACGAAACGAACGATGCACTGGCAGCACTTTTTAGTGAAACGTCATAATTTGGATAAACTTGGCAGCATTGAGAGAAGAGGCTTCGATTGGTTGGTTATAGAGGTACGTCGGAAGAACGACAGATAGCAAACGGTCGCTATAAAGCCAACATTAGGCTCATTGTGTCCCCAGGTGAGTAACCACTAAGCACCTTTAACAACTACAGACTTTGTCTATTCATTCCTTGACTGCAAACAGTTTTTTTATGGTTTAGACTAAATATATATACCTATATATAACTCAGAGACAATTGCTTTATTTGCTTTGTTGCGGGCCAAGTCGCTAAAAAATACAATTTTAGACTATTGGACACCTACACACATGAAGTCAAATATATAAACAAATAGGTGCTGTGTTGTCGATTTTTTTTTTTTTTCCAAATTTCTCAAAAATATTTTAAAACATGTAAGGAAGAAGCCCGGGAAATTCCTTCAGGTGCTTGCAAACTTAATATTAAAAAATAAATTAGAAAGCGCTTAATTCGGTTTTAACTTCATACTCTTGCAACTTGCAAGGAACAAAGGGGAAAGAACACCTTCAGGTTTTGACAAAGCGTCATATCAAACTAAGAAAAATATCGCCGTGATTTCAATTTAAGTAAAGAGGATGCATTGTTATAATAAAAATATTTTTCCTGAATTTCATTAATATTTCTTACATATTGACGGATAGATGCGGTATAAAGTGAAGCGGAGGTTCGAAAATATTTCTGTTAGGTATATAGGGACTAAGGGAAGTGTTGACCTGCTTTTACCCATTTTTGGAACAAGTTATATATATATATATATAAAAGTTTGTTATATTGGAATCAAGCTTGGTTGTCATCCAATTTAACCCATATTTACAGAGTTTAAAGAGGGGAAATCACTTCTTCTCAGCAAGTTTGGTTGATATATCTTAAGTGGTTTGTAAGATATGTATGGTTACTGCGATCTCCTTTATTAAGCAAACAAAAATTATGGCACTCTATTTGCAATACCAACCTCCCTTGGGTGCTAAGGAATATTTGTACTAAGTTTCATCACAATATCTCAATTTTTACTCAAGTTATCGCTTGGCCGTACAAACGGATGGACGAACACACTCGTCATTCTGATCATTTATATATACATAACCTTATATCTAACTCGATCATTTTTAGTTGATACAAACAACCGTTAGGTGAACAAAACTATTATACTCTCTAGCAGCATGTTGCAAGAGTATAAAAACATATTTTTTTCTATGCATTTAGTGTTTTTACGAAAATTGTTGAAGACTAAAACGGCTCAAGAGCTTAACTAAATGTGGTTTCTGAACAAAATTTTCTTACACAAAATTTTATCCGCCAATTTTTGGCATATTAGAAATACATATATTAAGCATATACTTTAAGTATGCTAATTTGACAAAGATTTATTTCATACGCTGGTACACCCCATTTTTTGAAAACAAAAAAGAAAGTATTTAAAAGCCATTATTATCTTTTCCGCGCAAATAAAGTGTTTTTCTTTGCGACGCAGACGAGATTAAGGCAAGGCGGACAAATATTTATGTTTGCACCACTACGAAGGGGCAACAGTGGCGGAGTAGTTCAAAAAGTTCGTGTGTGTATGAAAATTGAACATTTGTTGAGAACATTAATGACAATATACGAAAGTGAGTCATAAATCACACGCAGTTGCGTAAATTTACGTGATTTTAATGGTAAAAAAATTCAAAGACATTGAGTGTAGTAACAAAATAAAAATTTAATAGAAAATGTTTAAATATTGCGGAGCTGGAACGCAAAAAATAATCGTGTTAAACTGTAAGATATTTTTACTATGAAAATGTTTATATTTGTGACATTGATTAAAGACTTTATTATAAACAGATAAAATATGTGAAAAAATATATAAAAAATATTAAATATGCATGGAACTTTTTTATATAACATTTGTTTTTTTTTATTTAGACATATTCTTGATTTTAATATTGACTCGCCTTCAATGTGACTTTCGCGCATCCTCTGCGCTCTCACGTTGATCATATTTATGCGCGCAGCAGCTGTCATATTTTTCGTTCATCCACATTTCTAACACTATGCTATAGCCTTTGCTTGACCACTAATGCCTGCTTAGCATATTTCAAGCGCTTTTATATTTTTTTTTTTATTAGTTTTATCAATTTATTTTTTTATGGTTCAACACATTTTATCGCGAAATTTGAGGCACTTAATACAAAAGACAAACGTGGCATGAGTGTGCCAATTTCGCTGCCAAAAATTTCAAAATTTGTTGTTTTATTAAAAAAAAATAAAGATATATTTAAAAATAACTGTAAATTATAAATAGAACAGAAGCTCGTAAATGCTAAATAAAAACGAAATGCGAACGGTTTTACGAGCGAATGTAGAACCAGCGCAAATACTTTAATTGTTGAAAACAATAGAAAATAGTATTAAAAAAATGCATCACATATCATTATATTTTCTCGTATTTAATTGAGAAGAAGAAGAAAGTTCTATATTTTACAACTGAGAAACATAATAAATTTAAGAATTGGTTTTTCAACCGCCTTAATGTCTGAAAAGAAATAAATAAACTCAGAAAATAAAAAATAAAATATACTTGGAATATAGAATGTCTATATATATATATATAATATTGATTTGAAAAAAGAAATTCATTTCAACAGCTCAATTTGCTTGTCGAAAAAAAATATTTCTAAGCTGCTTCAAGAATCTTATTGTGCAAATTTAATGCACAATTAAATTTAATAAATTCAATGCAAAAATATTGAAAATTATTTTAGCGTAAACAACAATAATATAGTAGTGCTATAAATACTCTATTTACGTTTACAGTTATGTTAAAAATAGTTTCTTACGAACACTGAAATAGGCCATTGAAAAGCTAATCTAATTTCGGTTTAATGGGTAGTAAGAATAACTTTAGTTTTTTTATGCTTTAGAAAATTTTAGAGAAACAGTAAAGGTGTGAGTCCAATGTTATTTCCATTTTGAATGCATATTGAGTTTGATCACATGGCAGAAAACTAATTTTTTCTGACACTGAGCTTTGAAGGCTTCGAATAACAAGTCGTTTGTATATTTGTCGTGCTCATTCTCTCATCAAAATATTTCTTAATTACTCTTTCTCATAAAAATACAAATTTAACACTATCTGAATTCGATTTTCCAAAATAAACCTAAATATTTTTTTATTTATTTCATGTTTCTTCCGATATTAGATATATATTTCCACCGCCAAACCTATACCTATTGTGAGGTCAGCTCATTGGATACTTCAATTTCGAATACCTAAATATGCAGAACAATTCCAAAACCATAAATAAAAGTGGCGCTGTTCCGAAAGTAAGTTCTTTATATACCTATATACATATTTCTTCATCTCATAAAATCATAAATTTTCAACGAAATACATATGTATATCCAGTTGTATAATTATCAAATATAATATAAAAAAAACATGTTCGTACTCACTGTAATCACTTTGTTCGTCTTGTGTACCATTCACCGTACCGTCCGGCAGCAATTGTATGAAGCGATTCTTGATGTAGATCTGGATTTTGCGCGACAAACCCGACAAGTTTGAGATGGTCGAGCGCTCGTTGCGATCCAAATTATTGTGCGCGTGCCTGCTGCCATTTAAGTTTCTAAAATTGTTCAGTCTTCTCGATTTCGGACTACCGTCAGAGGAACGTCGCACTATGCCGCCATTATTGGCGCCGCCATGATGGCGTACAGCGCGCCCACTCGCGCTGACCTTCGCCTGCGTTAATACCGGCGCAGGTTGAGGCACACTGCGCTCCGTGCGTGACAGCAGTAGGGCGGTATCATGCGCTGAGGCGATTGTGAAGGCGGTTGATTGTGGCGCCCCTACTGCTGCGTTCAGCAGTGTATCGTCATTGTCGGGCGACGCTGTTGTATAGGAGTAGGATATGCTCGAGCGGCTCGCGCTCTCATACTGATCCTCATAATTGCTGGCGCTAGTGCTAGTGAGCATTTTACTAAATAATGACGCCTCATCATCGGGCGCATCATCAATGGTGGCTTGCACTTGCTCTTCAACATAGTTTACATAACTATTAGCAATGTTATTATTAGCATTGCTAGGCATAGCTGTTGTCGTTGTAAAAGTAGTAGTTTCGAGATTGTTTAACGTTCGTTTTGGCGCCGCGGCCATTGATAGATTTTCATTAGGATTACTATTATTTGTAATTAAATATTTATTGCTTATACTATTTTCACTAAAACTAAGTGGTGTTGTGGCGGTGGTTGTTGTGGTAGTATGATGATCATCGGCGACTGTTGTTTTCGCCGGCTGATCTGTGTTTGCATGGCTGTTGCTGCTGTTAGCCAGCTCGCTGTCGCTGCTTTTTTTACGCTTACGTTTGTTTGATATTAAATTCAGCATTTTGATGCGTTGCGCATTGTGCAACTGATCGTCGTTGGAGGTTGGTGGCGCGTTTTGCGCACGCATTTGATCAGCGCCCGCATGGCGCATGCTTTCTCTGCCATCTAAGCGTTTGCTGTTCACATTAGCGCCAATAATGGTGTTGGCATTTTTCGCTTGACGGCTTTTTGACAGTTTTGCCGACATAAGCTCCGCTTCCTGCTTCGTCTGCTCTCGCTCTTGCTCATTTTCACTATAGTTACTGCTATGGCTACTATTTCGATTTGTATTTAAATTAATGTTTAATGTGAAATTTCCATTTACTGACACGCCATCTGCAACAACAACATGGTGCCCGCTATCATCAACGCTGCGGTAGGTGTTTGTTGCATTCTGAAGTGCGGCGCTCGCATCATAAGTCGCATTCGCCGCCATTAATTTATCCATTGCATCAGCGCCCTGATGTTGCAATGTCGTCGCACTTGTTGTTGTTCTGGGCTGCTGTTGAGTCACTGGCAACGCACACACCATAATACCCGTCCAATCAATGATTATCGAAAGGAGGGCACCCAGCAGCGCTAGGGCCCTCCAATACACGCGTAAATTCCTTCGCATGAACGAGATAAATAACCGGCGTTAAGCCAATAACGCTCGCCGCTAACCAAACGCGCGTAAAAGCTGAAATTTTTACACAAAATTGTGAAGGGTCGGAAGACGCCTCAATTGCGCTTGCTTTGGTTATGGGGCGCGAGAGGCGCGTATGTCGTATTAGTTGTGCGACACTGTCCTCGCTACAAAAATGAAACTCGTAGTGGAGACGTTGCAGCGTTGGTCGGTATTAAAATATTTAAATCCTATTTTTCTTGCTTTCGCGGGCCCAAAAGTCGCACAGGTTTGAACGCGCGGTGGTTGTTGTATTTTTATTTTTATTTTTGGTTTTGCTGTTAAGGTTTTGGGAGTCGGGCAGTTAACTAGCAGGTTTTTAGTTTTTTTTAATTGACAAAATGATAATTTATTATTGACACCTTGTGCTACAAAATACTTGTTTTTTCTTTTAATATATTTATGTGCTGATATATGTATGTATTTATGCGTTTTATATACTTGTAGATTTATATGTATTCACAGTTATAATGCACGTAATTTTTCTTTCGCCGTTTAACTTATTGATTGTATGCAAAATAAATCAATACAATTAACTTTTACTTTTTTCGAAGCTGGATATCTTGAACTGGAAATTTACTGTTGCTGACTCTGAAATTTCGGAAAATATACTTTTTTCAAGTCACTTATTTTATGCACGCGACTTTTTATTTTATATTTTAATTTTTGTTTTTTATTACGATTTTTATTACTTTTTTTTTGATAAATATATTTATAGTGATTTATTTATGGCTTTAACTTTTTTGTTCGTGTACCAAGTATTTAGGTCACCATATTGTTGCAATATTTTACACAATACAATTTTAATTGTCGTTGCTTTTCATCTTCGTCTTCCGCGTTGATAATGCATTTTTGCTCACTTTGCATAGACGTCGATCTCCTGGCCATAGTAATATTCACACAGCGTTGGAGTAATTTATTTGTCAAACGCATTGGCATCAAACGTTGGCGTGGCCAATTGTTGTTTGCGCGCATGCGCCCTTACGCCACTAGAAGCACTGTTTGTTTGTTATTCTCTTGATGATTCTTATCGTTATCACTATTATTTATTCAGTTAAACACGATTTTAAATATAAGTAGTTGTTGTTTATTGCTGTTGTTGTTGTATGCAAAACGTTTAGAAAATGGAAAAATGCCTAAGTCTCTTATGTAACTGCAAGTAAAGAGTAGAAATGGAAGTGGAAATAAAAATTAATTAGTATAAAATATTGAATTTTAATAATACATTTTATAAACAGTAAATTCGACACACTTGCGCACAATTTTAATATAAAATCGTATCTTCATTTTAATCGGCTAGTTTGTAGCACAGCCATATGTAATTGTGGTCTGATCTTAACAATTTCTTTGGAGATTGCATAACTGGCATAGATTATAATCCATGCCAAATTTCTTGTAGATATCACGTCAAATGACAAAGCTTTCCATACAAGCACTTGATTCTCTTCATTCAGTTTGTATGACAGCTATATGCTATAATGATTCAACATCGACGATTCCCACAAATGAGCAGCGTCTTGATGACGAAAGGTTTTGCTGTCAATGCGGAGTCACCTATTTTCCGAGCGACTGTCGAAAATTACGTCGTAATAGCCGAGTTTTAAATATTTATATTATTTTTATAATTTATTTATTTTACAAGATCTTTGTAAATTATGTATCTTTAAAATAAAAAAAGTTTAAATAAAATTTTTCATTTTTTATATGAAAAAAAAAATTATTGAAAATATGCCACTTTTGGCTCGAGGAAACCCATGTACCCCATGTAAATCTGCTGTTTTGCTGACGTCAGTTTAGCGCATAAGGTTGTGAAAAGTTTTGCGTTGCTCTCATATAACACACGGTGAGTATTGAATTTTGAAGCACAAAATTTTGATCAAGTGTTATAGCATTAAATTTTCAATCTACTCTTTTGCATTCAACTTTTCTTCAAAATATATATCATAATTTAGGCAATCCTGACATCACGCCTACATATCTACATATTTGTAAGGCAAATAAATTTCTCACTGTACACAATTAGAACTGATTTGTACCCATTGCAATTAGTTCAGAATTAATTGCAACATTCTATGCGCACACTAAACACCGGAAAGTGACGAAAATCTCTAGACACCTGCATGGGATAACGGTGAGTTAACGACAACCCCAAAAAACTGTTGACACACATACAAGCACAGACACATACACACTCACACCTTAATGCTTGGCATAAAGAATAGTCAAGTGAAAGTAATTAACGCATTTGCATGCAGCATTTTCACTTGATTTATTTCTGGTGAATTCGCATTACACAACAACAACAAAATGGCAAGCATTCTTAATATTTATTAGTGTAGACAAGGAAAAGTGCGTGCATTCTAGCCCATTTATGAGTTGACATGCGGCAAAGCAGCGTTGTCCATGCCGGGCATTTTAGGCGCGCAAAAAGCCGACTACAAAGCGCTCGGCGGCAAAGGCGACTCATGCCAAGACGGAAAAGGCTACATGAGTACTTTATGTGCTCGTGCGTTGTAATATAGACGTCATGGCATGTTGAAATTAGAATTGGGCGCGTAGTGCAAGTACAGTGACACTCATACGCACACGCTTTAAGGCATATGCAAGCTTTTATTAAGCATTTTATTTTTTATGCTGCTCGCGGCGCTGTACTCAAGGCATGCGAATAGGCGTCGTAAAAATACAGTTTTATGTCACACGCAATTATCATGCGCATTACAATGGAAATAAACTTTTTGCATTTGTTATATTTAGGCAGAGAATGTTTGCAAATATTTGTTTTTGAATATTACGTAAATTTTTAGAAATAGGAATGTATGTGTATTGAATATTCTACATTTTTAACTGCAAATAAACATTCCAATTTTTAGACAGGAAATAATAATTTTTGTTACTAGAATATGGAGAAAAAGTGTAAATAGCTAAAATAATAATAAAAAATATGCAGAAAATGTCTCGACACTTGTTTACTTGCCTACTTTTGTTAAAGCTTTTAATCTGAAAAAGCTTCAAAGCGAAATGCTCAACATGCAGAATCAACATACATTTGAGTCGAACAACTATTTTTCATTAAAAAAAAAATAAATTATCCATTGAAGATCTTAAAAAATTTAACTCCCAAAGCATTATACAAATATTACTGAAATATTTACCGCATTGATTGTCCCAAAGTGTACTCATGCCATTTCTCTCATGAGAGATTCAGCTAAAGCGTGAAATTCAAGCAGTCTTCGCATTTGATTTTACAAAAACAGCTATAATGAAGGAAAATCTTCCTCAACACTGACAGTCTAAACAAATTTGCCAAGAAAAAACGAAGTTCGCCTGCAATAAAAACAAAAACAAGAATCGCTACGACCTTTGTTGTCTACAAAATATTGTGCTGCGCTCAACACAAACACACACACACACAACCAGCCATCTGGGCACTTCCTACATCTTGGCCTTTTAGCGTGATTTATTGCGCGAGTATACACACACATTTGCATAAGGCAGAGCATTAGCATTGCTGCATGTATGTATTTTGATAATTGTTTTCCCCAAAAATTAGTACATATACGTATGTATGTGTAAGTAACTTTGTTATTTTGCAGCGATTTTCACTTTTCACACGCACCCGACACAACTTTTGTGTAACTTTGCTGCCAAAACAAAAGCACACACAAGCACAGCATAGCAGCGGCAGAGCAGCAGCAGAACAGTGGCGAATGCTCCACACAATTTACGTTGGCAAACATTTGCCGCGTAAGCGCCATTGTGTTGTTGCATAAAAGCTGCTGTAACACGCTGTGCGCCTCCATTTCCACTACTCTTTTGTATTTTATGCTGTATTTACGCCATCTTTAGTTTATATTCTATTTCAGCAGCCAACGCTTTTCCTTCAGCATTACCAATTCTATTTGTATTATGTTGTTACTATTTATTTCTTTCATGCGATTTATTTTTAAGAATTTGTAACACGTGTTATTATTTTTAATTTTATTATTTTTATATGTTGTGTGCTGTGCTACACGCTGTTGTTGCAAATTGTTATAAGTTGTTGTGCGTAGGCGTATTTATATATATGTACATACATAAGTGGGTCAAAAAACGAATATTTTTTCGTTTGGTATTCAGCATAATAGATTCGTAGAAACCTCTAAGAAGGGCTCCGAATTGTAACGGGAAGGTCCTCCGTCTTACAGTTTATAGTTTGTTCTTATTGTGAGATAGAAAAATGCATATTTCGCTTCCAACTGCTTGAAAATTATTGCGTTTAAGAGGTTTTGTAGGAAATTGAATGCTCTACATAACGGTTTCTTACGATTTTTTCGTCAACCTAACCGTTGAAAAGTTATTAACGCTTAAAGTTTGATTATTTGAAGCCAAATCTTTGTATATTTGTACAAATTAAATAATTCTCATTAAAAAATAAATTAATATTTTACTTGAAACGATGCTGTGCTAAATATCGCTCAGTAATTAAGAAAAAAAATAATAATAATGCAAAAATTGCAAAAGTCAAAAAATGTCGCATGCGAAAATATTTTCATATAAGCATGAATTTATATTGCAAGATATTAAAAAACTAACTGCTGTCATTTTTATTAAATTGTTGGCATATAGTTTAGTTTAATTTTATCTTTTTTTTTTAGAAAAGCAGCTGCAATACTTGTGCTAAAGACGCAGTGGCACACACACATATACGTACATAGTATTTTGTATAAAAATACATACTTGTAGGTGTATACATATACCTGCGATAAGTATATATTAATATATTCGTGTGCGCTGGCTGTTTGCCCGTCACAGCTATCAACACTGTGACTTCAATTAATGAATTTTTGAAATTTCTCGAGCAAACAAATTTGCTCTAATGAGACATTTGTATTAATTGAACAAGATTTATTTTCTAATATAAATAAATACATGCATATGCATATTTTCAGAATTTGCAGACTAGTAAAAATTAATATTTTTGCTGTTGCTCCGCCGTCGATAACATTTAAGCCTAGAAACTAGGCGAATCTGTTAATAAGCGTTTTTTACTAGCCGCTATTGATTTTTAATGAGTATTTTTTTTTATTTCTTCAATTAACTGAATTAAAAAAAAAACAATCAATTTATTGCCTCATTTGCATTTTTTTGTCATTTTTCCTGTGTCTAATTTCTCGCAACCGATTTTCGCAGCAAACGTAGTGATCGCGTTGCCAATACTCGTATGTGTGTGTGTCTGTTTTATAGCGGTTTTTATGACGTTGTCAAAGTGGTTTTCTAAATTGAACTAATAAACATTTAAAAGACTCGATTTGACACACCAACAAATTTATATGCACGTTGGACTATGGCATTTATGAGAGCTGTCGGGCGTCATATCAAGAAATCTTTTGAGATATACAGGTGTTTGTATGTACATATGTACACCGGCGTGCGAACTTTTTCTTGACATATCGCATAATTACAAAAAGCTATAACTTGGCTCATAACTGGACAGCTAGCTATTTAAGCATAATTGATTTAATTTGGCGAAAAAAAACCAAAAAGTTAATTTCAAAGCTTAGAAGAAAATATTATATAATATTCATATAAGTAGGTATGTATACGCATGTTTCCGACACACTGTATACTTGATAATTGGTTTTTAAGCTCACGTTGATGTCTGTCTTCTCAATACTGCACACATTTCGCACTTTTATGGCACAAAGGCAGAGTTTAGTTGCCACAAAAGCTCCGTTTTTTTTCCAACGGATTTTACGTCTTTTAAATATTTAGGTTGTCATATAATATTTATTTCTATTTGTTTTCTACTTTTGTTGCTAAAATGCGTACAACAATAAAAACGCACAAAGCGATCACACGTTCATCAATATTAAACTCTCCCACTCTCTCTCTCTCTCTCTCTCTTTCATGCATATGTGTTGAGGCGTGTTTCTTGACAATCCAATGGAAAATATTCGCAAAAATTACTATGTAGCGAAATACTAATTAGAGAACAAATAAAGTGTCTTCATTTTTCTCTGCAAAATTAAATTAATCTTTTGGGTAGAACGAAGGTAGATCGCGCATAGAAATGTCGCCATATCGTCACTGGGCTGAACACAGACGTAAAAAGACATAACTGCCACAAAATAGCTCAGGTAACGGGAAAAATTTGAAATATGCGAAATTTTATTT